ATCACGTCATCAGTTTGGAATTTTACGCCAAGAATTTCAGACTTCCTTGAACGGGGAAGATATTGAGTATGCGAAGGGGGCAGGCCTGTTTATCACAGCTAACCTTTTAGCCAAACATCCTTTCACTTTCTTAAGACGTTAAGCACCATTACCGATACGAATTCACACGGATCATTAATTTAGAATTGTAAATTATTAGATGGCCATAAGGTCTTGGTAGCATTTCACTTCCACCGTAACAGATCCCGGCATCTTGACCTGGTGGTTCCGTCTCCGTCCCATCAGCTGGTGAGTCTCGACCACGGCTTTGTTGTTGATATCAATAGCTATCTTGGCTTGGCCCATAAATGAGTCCCAGAACCAGTTGGAATCCCATACCTAAGTGAAACAGAACCACTCTGGAGTCAATGTTGAACAATGTTGAACATTAAACCGTTTTGATTAAATTTCGCCATCTTGGAAAACATCGGCTGAAGTACAGACCCAAGGGGCAACAGAGGCACACATTTACGATAGTCAACATGGTGGTTTTCATATTACAGGTTTATGGTAGGTATTGGTGAAGGGGTGAGAAGGGGGTCGGAGGAAGTAACCCATCGGCACCCACCAGTGATCGAATCTGGTTTCTGCATTTGCTACATGATGGGTTCCTAATCTATTCCCCCTTCCCCGCCCCCCCTCTCCTTCATCCATACCACTTCCGCCCTCCCTCCTAAAAAAAATAATAATACAAGCCCAGGAGTTTCTAAACATTCTCAGATCGAACAGATCACCTTTTAACAAACTTACCTGTACGACCAAGCGCGTTTTCTGGGGTCTCCTGACGTAAAACAAGGCACCTGTGTTCCACTTTGGATTGAGTGAGTCCTTCTCTACAGGGGTTCTAACTTTTCGTCCTTCGCAGCTTATCAAGGCGTAAGGATCGGGCGCTGAAATAATAGAACATGACAATTTATACCAGCTTATTTTCAGTGCTGTAATAAGGAGAAGACTGCAAATTTCGTCGCAACCTCTGACCTTCGAGGTTACAACTCGGTATTCGGTACTTCTTTGAAATGGCTTCGTTTTAACGTCGCTTGGTTGATTACACGCCCAACAAGTGCGCGTTTTGGGAGACCGAGGAAAACCGCAAAAGATTCATTTTCGTAAACCATTCGGATATATCGTGTCCCGTGACCATAAGCCAGCGACAGGAATGTCTGACGGATTGCGGAAGCGGTTAAAAATGTAAATAAGTGATGAAGCGAAACCTTAGTTTCTGTGACGCAATTGACATTTTCATTATTAACAAAAACATCTGAAAGTGACGGTCTAGAAAGGTACGGACTCCTCAAGCCCTGTTTTGTGAAGTACATGTAACCAGCTCTTAATCGCTTTACCAGCTACCATTACAACAGGCCTTCCGAGTGAGTTCGGTNTATTATTATTATTATTATTATTATTATTATTAATTAAAATAATAACACAAACACACTAATTAATGTGAACCTATCGGCACCTTAGGCCACATCCGAGTTGCCCTTTGTCTCCATGTCAAAATGAGTCTTCGTGCCGAACCATTGTAATGAAAATGCTTTTCGTATCTAAGTTCATTTTCATGCATATCAACTCATCTTCATAAGAAAAGTTTTGTACGAGGAATCGTTTTGAAACAGAGGCAAAACGCGAACCGGAAATGGCCTGTTCGTGCGTTACAAAGCGACATTTCGAGAATACAGCGGAGGAAAATAAAACAGTCTTTCAGTCTACTTCTTACATTGCACTAGAAGACTTTTCAGTGAATATTCTCATCAGAAATTGTCCAGCTTTGTTTTGTTCGTATGTCGAGGGAATCACTACATATCTGCCTTTGTTCAAATGGAACTTGTTCACCACTTCTCGTGCGTTGATGAAAATGGAGTCGCCAGCCTTTTCAAACATTGTGTGCAAACGGTACTTTCTGTTCTCCTCGACCTACGGAGAAACACGCAACCATAAACAAAGAAAGAATCAAACAAACAAATAGACAAACAGGTAAAGAAACAAACAGGTAGGCAGGTTGACTGATTCGGACTGACAGACAGACGTTCAGACAGACAGGCACTCTGGCTGGCAGGCAGACAAGCAAACTGAATCAGACGGACAGACTGATCTAGACAGACAGACAGACAGACAGACAGACAGACAGACAGACAGACAATCCACTGATGTCGATTGTACACTCATGGTCTTAGGTCGCCAAAAGGTCAAGACAATAGCGAAGTGTTCCTAACAAGGCAAACGGAAAGTTCTACTGTGCTGTATTTTGCGTTTATTCTAACGCTTGCCGTTGTGGCGTTACTTTTTAATTCATCGTAGCAAGTGCACAATGAACATGTACCTTCATAACAAAATAACCGATGGTCAGATTCTCCACTCCACGCTCTTTTTCTTTCCTTGTGTCTTCTTGCATCAGAGAAATCATAACCTCACCCTCCTCTTTGACAGTGAAGGAATACTGAAAGAGAAATTATAATATAAAGATGTTTTCCAGGATCAAACAAAACTGTAGCAACGCTAGATTAGTGTGCGTTCGGCGTTACTATAGCCTTCCACGCAGACGCTCTTCGGGCTCGTCACGCGTTCGTGGGGAAGGAACGCGTGACGAACCCTAAGAGCGTCTGCGTGGGAGGTTATAGTAACGCCGAACGCACACTAATCTCATTTTATTCTAACTAATTACAACAGATGTGCTGTAAGGGGTAATCCATGAGGGCCAGTAAGGAGGTCAAACCGTTATGCAGGTCTCCTGTCCGAGATATTTTTACCATCATGTAGTAACCAAATCAAAAGGAGCGACAAAAGTATGTAACTGATATCAGAAATGAGAGAATAGAGCTGCCTGCGCGATAGATCTGTGCTATGGAAACAGAAAGTTGAAAGTGAAACAACACCCTGAAAAGGGGGCTTAAGGCCGTATGAATTCCTTGCATTTCTAGTCCGGCAGAAACACAGCATCAACATCCGTACTGCTTGATCTGTGACAAGGCTTATGCAACATCACCTTGGCATATGAAATAATTACACCACGAATAGCGATACATAAATAATATTGATATATCATATCCGTATTGGCGTGCTTGACAGTACCTGAGGATTCTTAAGGAAAGTGCTTCTATTTTCAACACACCCTCCAGCATTGGAGCCTGGAGTCCATCGATAAGTGTGCTTGAAAACGCGCCATCTCTTTGACAATGAAAAGAATGATGTGTTGATCACATGGCACAGGGTAGCATTGGTAAAATGTGAGCAGAAATCTTCAAATGACATCCTACAGAAACAAGAATTCAGAGCGTGAGGCACACTGTCGTAAGGTAAAGGTCTGCATATGTAAGGTAAGGTAAAAGTCTGCATATGAGCCAAGTGGCTCATCAGGCCGGAGATTATCCCAGTTTCAGTAGCATGAAGTGACCAGGAGTATTTCTTCTCCCCTTGGATGGGATGCTAGTCCATTGCGGGGCTACCTCCCAGCATTAAATTTGCTGGTACCCATTTATACACGTAGGTAAAGAGAGGCACTGTGAGAGTAAAGTGTCTTGCCCAAGAACACAACACAATGTCCTTGACCAGGGCTCGAACCTGGACCGCTGGCTCTGGAGTGGAGCCACTAACCATGAGGCCATCGTATTCTGAAAATCTCCAATTGAAAGAAGTTCAAGCAGTTGTACTTACAATTTTTTAAGCTCTCACGAGACAAGTGTCTTAACTCAAGAGATGAAAGTGTAAATTCATGATATCAGAGTCTCATCTCCCAAATGGAGACAAGAGTCTAACTTGTTTCGCGAGATGAGAACCTTGTCTCGCAAGGGGGTGAATAATTACTTTTGAATGTTACTGTACAGTGTATATAAAATGATTAAAATGTCGTGACTCAGACTGCAGCAAGTGTTACACCTACCAAAATTCCCCATCATTCTCAAAGACAATTCCAAGCTTTTCTCTGTCACTTTGTTTTAGTTTTTTCCACTCCTCTGAGCTGTTAAACAGGAAAATAAAAAGTAAGGTTAATTTCACATAATGCATAATTAGACTTGAGCTAACAAACAGAGAATCCAAAGAAGACAGGATTGAGAAAAGCTGATTTTGATTTGCAATTAGTCGTACACTGTACATGAACAAGCATTTTAAGGGCAGGAAAACCACTGACAACAACATCGACAAAAGCAAAGAAACTAGCAATGATACCGTGGAACTTAAGAACAATTTACACATACATGTACATGTTCTGTGATTTAACACTGAGCTCCTGGCTCATATGTAAGTGACTAACAGGAAAATAATGTACTCTCAGGGGTTTCATTAAGGGCTGAACACCGGGCAAATTGACCGTCTACAAGAAGTCTAGAAGTTCAGTTCTAATAGTTTTGCCTGCCTTTGAAAAGCAGTTGCCCTCCTGGGGAAAATGTTAATGGAACCCCTGTATACTTTAGTGACAATTCATTGAACCATCCTTGCAAGCTGGTAGCCAGTCAGTTTTGGTCTCTGACTGTACTGTCAAGAGCATTCATGACAAACGCAGTGTAGGAAAAAGTGCAATGCATAATTGATTTACTGATAATTACTCGTCACTCCATGCTCCATTCCACTCCTTTTGTCCCCAGGGATTCCTCAGACGAATCATGTACAAATGCTGCCGATTGAACAAACTGAAGAGACCGTCACCAATAGTGACCTGAAGGACAGAAGCAATAAATATAAAATGCAACAATTTCAATCATATGCACAGTGTAGCAATCGTTAAAACTTTTATGGCCAAATGTAACAGTCTAGAGAGAGTGGAAATAACTGACATGCATGTATTACATGTAATGTAAATGTACGGATGTACACTGATTCTTTTAGTCAAGACCTCAAAACCTCAAAACTTTCTACACAATTTACAGAATTTAAAGCAGAATAATTTATTATGGGGAGCGTGGAGGGTGGAGGAGGACACAACACACAAATGATGTGACAATGAAAAATAAAAATAAACGTACACGTACTGCCCCTCAGGGAGTACAATAATGTATACACAAATTTACCTTCTTTACGGCTGTTACACCATATGCATGTCCCATGACTAAGCCGGTTTGTGTGCGCTTTTCCATCTCATCCCTGTTTTTGATCTACAGGTGAGAAAGGTAAAAAATGTGAGATACAGTTAGTACTACTATTTGTTTGATAAAAGCTTGCTCTTTGAGTATTCAAGATGAACCAAATCCTGCCCTATGATTGGCTCACCAAGTGGGTAAGTTGGAGCTATCTCCCCCCTTAGGATTATGCCCTGTTTTGCATGTACAAAAATGTAATTCTTCGTGTCACATTAATAGCAATTCCTTTCAATGTCAAAGTTTGTTATGTCAAGCAGGTTGGATATTGGCCTTGTTTTTTATCCCTTTTTCTGTGTATTGATTAATAGACCTGTCCTTGAAATTGGCCAATATCCAATTATCCATGAGCAATAATTAACCCATACAACTGCACATACAGTTCTGATTACTAACAATAAGATGTGAAAGGTAAACTGATCAACATGACACAAGCGTGCGACTGAGAAAAAATCTGAGTCCCCAACAGGAATTGAACCAATGACCTCCCAAACACCGGGTGCCGGCACTCTATATACCTGTGAGATGTACATTTTGTTTGCACAAGCAAGCAGAGAACATACCCTTATTGAAGCACTGATCAGCGACTTTTCCCTCATCGCTCTCTCCATACTCTTAAATAAGCCTTGCCTCTTTTCTGTATCTTGACTGTAGCCTCCATCTTTGAGATTAATCGATTCACACACTCCCCCAGTGAAATCTACCAAGGCATCACCAGTGTTACCTGCCTCTAGTGCCTCGTAGGAACCAGCCAACCTGGGAAAGAATTGATAGCGTTACACAGATTTCGTACACTAAAAAACTTAATAAAAGAGAAAAAGGTGGTAAAAGCAAAGAGTTGGCATCCAAGCTTATATGTACATGAAGTATTAAACTATTATGTGGGCACTGGGTATTTCAACCCTCTCCCCCCGCCAAAAAAAAAAAATGGTGTAAAAAACAGTACTGTAATGCCAGCATTCAAGTATTAGGCCATACCCGTATTCTTGTTATTGGACTGAAACTAGTTTGCAACTGACGCTAATGCGGGGAGTCTTTTCAAATGCAAATGACATTTGAATCTCTTTATATTGATATTGCCCATCACGAGTCTCCATTGCAGGCTAGTTCTAGTCTGATATTGAGAATGCAAATATAGCCTGCCATATTTGATAAACCTTGGCAGAGAATGGCACTGTGAAAGTCAAGTGCCTAACTAAAGACTTCTGAGCTCAGAGTCCAGCATGCTGAGAGCATTCTGTTAAACACCTCCTAAGGAAAGGCAAACTAAAAATATGAACATACATGTAGCTATTCATCTTACTTAGCATATGCCTTTTCAATTAAAGCACTCCAGAATTCATTCTTCTCAGTGGAGTGGACGTACACCAATTTGCCACCTATTGTCGGCAACAGATCATCAATGACGACTTCAGTCCATTGGCCCTGCCGGAAGAACCGGAACCTAAAGATTCCCTGATAGTTCCCAACATGCTCTGGGTCCCATTCCTGATGCTTCATTTCTGGGATGACCTAAACAAACACAAAACAGGATATTATAAGAATATGTAACCACAAAAAATCTACAAGACTTGTAGATCTACACATTTAGTGTATTAATATAGACATGTATGCATTTATGCATACAGTGCAGCTCAGATATAAGCGAGCCAAAATTTACCCGTAATTTGCGTCAGCCGAAAATGTGTACATTCGCGTACACATATGAAATGATGCCCAGGAGTCCCAAACAACTGTCCAGTAGCCCTAAGTTTACACTCCTTGGTAGAGAAAGGCACTGTGAGAATGATTTCAAGTAATCTTAGTTTTTAATTAGAGAGAACAAAAAGTCCACATTTTGATCCCCATCTGTACATCTCGCCTCTTCCAAGGCCTAACAAATGCATGAACCTCAAATATAAATTGTATAGAGCAACACAAACCTTCTCCAACAAAGATGGCTCCAGGGCCAACGACGAACATGCTGCCACAAACCAGCAGTTACCAAGCTTCCCCTGTGTTACATCATGGCTGCTCATTCCATCCACAAACAGCTTTGGAGGATCAGGAGCACAAATGTCCTACAGGGAAATAATTATTACAATAATACAATTCATTTACTGAGCATATCATTCAATGATTATGTTTACTTAGGAATGAGTCCAATTTCAGTCTAAGTCTTACATGTAGTGTCATTTATGCCTTAGAGGCTATAAACATCTTAGACTTAACAGTACTATAAGATTTCCCTGAAATTTCTTTACTCTGCAATATATTGATATTAATACCAAATTTTCATTTTCATTCTTCTTATTTTCAATTGAGAGGACGCAAAAAATTATGGCAAAAGATTGACTTAACCAGGCAGTTAGCCATTTACAAACTCGTTTATTCAGACAATTGGACCTTCATATAAGAGTGGTTCTCCCTTTTGCCACTGAACATATATACACATCCACGGATATGCATTAAAAAGGTGTGATAATTTATCATTATTTCACAGTCACATTCATCAAGGGGCTGCAAATCACCACTGATAATATTCTGATTCTACCGTGCATGAATCCATGCCTCTTGAAATAATCATTGATACATTATGCATGTTTGCATAATTTGCCACCATCTTTTTTAGCAGTTGAAAGTTGAGGAGAGCAGAGCAGAACAAGAAAGCAAATAACAAATGAAGTCCTGGAGCTACTTTTAACATTTGAACTTATATTATGTCTTAAATTTCACTGCATGACGAGCAGACATGAAAGCGACGAGAATGCAACTTGGGGCTTCCCAGTTTTGCATTTGCTGTTTATACTATGCTATTTTTATGCCTTGTCTTGATGGTTATTGGACGAGTTCTTAAAGGCTATGGTCCTCCTACAATCATTGTGTTAAGTAAAATTCCCAAGAGCACAATACAAATTAGTATTTATCCCAACTTTTCTTTTCAGAATAGAATATCAACTGAAGGTAAAAGATCAGTTGATTGCAGCATTGTTTCAATGATAATACAATATTGATGATAAAGGAGGAAAATAACATATATGCATAATTATTATTACTTTAAAAAAAATGAGCAGAAAAGTAAGCTTACTGATGAGAACTCTTGTCTGAAATAATCATGCATTTACTGACTTATTTTATGTTTTTTCCTCTCTGCGTTTTTGACTTGTCAAAATTTAGAATTTATTGATTTCATCTAGAAATACATCAAAAGAATTCCAATTTGGTGTCAAGAATTTAAACAGCTTGAGAGAGCATCACCCACGCACGGCTTTCAAAAAAAAAAATTAAATATTAATAACCAAAAATAAAAAGACAACCTAATTAACGCATAGCATAACATGTTTACGTTTATGATATGGGCCTTTCTCCGCAAGAAGTAGGTCGACCCCACAGTCGACTCTAATGAGATACAAATGAGCGAAATAAACGATTTAAAATTTTCCGTCTAGAATGCAGCCATCAGACTTGCCAAAAGAGAGACAGTAAGCTTAATGACAGCTTTTATGAAATTAGGGTGTTCACTGACTTTCAAACAGCTCCGCCACAACAGGGCAATATTGTAACGATTAAATCCCGCACATTACCCTAAAGCTTAGTGATGTCTAACGTAAATACAGTTATCGCCGTCCAAATACGAAGGATTTAAGCTGATGAATGGCTTGTTACACGAGACAAAGAACGAATATAAAGCGTCCAAAGGCTTCGGAGAACTGATCGCACTAAAGCAACCGCAAGAAAATGGTTCAAATCACAATTACTTGCAGTGAAATTGAAATCCCGCTTGGTTTCATCATGATATAATTTCTGTGCCTTTTGCGATCGATATGTTAGGAAATGAAAACGACTGAGGAATACAAAATCAAAACGAAAATCATATGGGAGCGGTGTGATCAAGCTTAGCTTACCTTTGGCCTCTTCCATTCAACTGGCTCCGGAGGTGTCGCACGGCTAAAATACAAAGACTTCGTCTCTGGCGGAAATTCAGGATCCACAAATAGTCTTTCATCTTTCTCACACTGCGCCTTGAGCCTGCTGAAACGCTGATTTCTATAATAATACAACTTCACCATTTTCTGTAGCTAAGTCACGTCTATATTGTCGCTCACGAGCTGGATGCGAAGTTCCAGAAGCCTCGTAATCATTCGCGCGGAAATCAATTGAAATACTGCAACGCGATTGGCTCAACGCAACCGAAAATGTAAAGTATTACAGGAAGTTGAGCCGCTTCGCTGTTTTTGTGGACAGCGGGGTTCGACATGGCAACAGGAGTTGTTGTAATAGACGGCCATGTTCGAATGTTGATGCTTTTCCTTGATCCTTGAAAATCGGTGTATAAATATATCAATATGCCAGGTAATTGTGATATTTAAGTGAACTGTCGTCTAAACTACCAATTTCCTGATTCTCAATGAAACTATTTTTGCAGAGAAAGTTCGTCTCGCTAATATTCACGAAGCTGTCCGTTATGGCGATGTGTTGGAGCTTCAAAGCATGGTTCAACGAGGAGCTGGAATCAACGATGTTGATTCTAAGTTTAAGTTCACTCCATTACACTGGGCAGCTCATCATGGAAGTTTAGAGGTACGAATTTTATAGCATGCTCGGTAAAATTGTTCAAAATTGTTGTATCGAGTGTTCATACAACCTAATTGCATAATTACTCAGTGTAAACAGTGAATGTGCAATGTACATGATTTCTTATCAGTTCACGTGCATTCCACTGGATATGGGGCACTTAATGATATACTGCACAGTCGTTGTGACATAATTTTATGTTTGAGAATTTCATACCAAACACTGTGTCAATTATGTTCAGAAATAATAGAATTAATTTTAATGTAAGAGCTTACATCTAATGGATTTTTATTGACACTTTGTGGTTAAGTATGTCTTTACAGCTTATGGGGATAACATTAATTTGTAATGAGCTATGATTCGAGTTTTTCAAAAAAAAAAGAAAAAGATGAAAAGAGAATGTGTCTTGAAAATTAACACAAAATGGCTTGACATCATGAATGATTTATTACAAGAGACTGCACAAGGAAACTATTGACCTAACAGATTTTTTTCCAGTGTTTTAAAGAATTTATTAATTGTGTTGATAGACCATCTAATTTGCAAAATTAAGTTCATGCATTTTGAATAAATTGTATTTGTGATAATGAAGTCAGTCTGCAAAGCATAGCACATTACACAATTGTTTTGTTCATGATATTTCAGAGTGCATGCAGGAATCTCTACGTTGCATGAATATTTATAGAACATGTACATAAATACCAAAAGACAAATATGTAATGCTCAAAAGAGTGGAGCACAAAAATATATAGAGAGAGGCTTCCGAATAATAAATGATTAACTGCATACATACTGTTTTTAGGTCTTGAGAAGTTCTCTGACAACAAGAGACAAGGAGATGGCTGAATATTGGCCAAGTTTTTGTTTTTGTTTTTTTTTTTTTTTTTTTTAGTGTTTACATTGGTTACTTTGGCATGGAGCTGATCATTCAGACAAAACTCCCCAGGGATGGACACCATCACATCTGTCAGCCATCAGAGGACAAGATGCTTGCCTACAGGTACAACATTCTAATAATTGTAGGTTATGCTATATGCAGTATTTAAACAGTGTTAATAGTACAATGTGAGACAGGTTTGCCTGTGTTAGATGTATGACGTACGTATTATTGTTCTGAATTTGTGCCACATACAGTAAGTAAACCAACTATAGTAAGTGGCAGTTAAGTTCTGTAAATGAGGCTAAGTTTTGTAAGACTGTGGGTGAACATTTTAAAAACACAACTGACAAATAATTTTATGTATTTAATGAAATATTTATCTTTAAGGCTTTGGCTGCAAATGGTGCTGACCTCAATGAGAAGGACAATCGAGGTACGCAGTTCAAATAAATGGATGCTCTGTGCAGTCATATTGTGTCTGTTATTTTTTTTTTTTACTTTACCGGATATAAAACAGCAACTGTGCATGTGAACAGTTCTCTTTGCAGTGATAAATTACTTATGAATTCATACATTTAAAAGACAGGGTATCTACAGTACATGTAAAGTTCAGCCATTCACGTAGTTGCAGAAGTCATGAGGAGAAAATATGTTTATTGTTGTTGTACTGTGCTTTCTTTTCAACTTACATGTTACAGGTTGTGCTGCAGCCCATCTTGCTGCAGCTCATGGCAACTCTTACTGTCTGCAGTCAATTCTGCGGCATGGAGTGGTGAGTGGCTGTTATGTAAATTATTTTAGTTATTAGTACTTAAAATTAATTGTTAGTTAATTTAAGAACCCAATTGAATCTATAATTTGTTGATTTCATATTATAATTGTCTCAATTATAATACCTAGAGTACAAATTTAGCAAGCTTGCATAGGGGTAGTGTCAGTCTACTACAAGCTGTGCGAGCAGTACCTAAATTGTAATTACAGTGATCGACGGTTTTCATTTCCCAAGGTTTTTTTACTTGTTGTGTTGTTGTTGTTGTTTTCCTGTGTGTGGTGTAAGTTGGAGAATATGTTACTAGTTTTCTAGTTTTGTTTCAAATCTCATTCCTACCATTTCCAGGACATTAANTTTTTTCTTTTCCTTGCCTTTGGTGTCATTTTTTCTTATTTGCATAATGTCTTTTTTATTCATCTGTTTCATTCAGGGTGACACACCTAAGAATCTTTGCCAGCAATTCTACAAAAAGGATTGTATTGATTACCTGAATGCAGTAGGTGAGTCAATTTGTTCACCAAGAAGTACTTAGTTATTGTCCAGTGTACTTCACTCCACCTTCACCTTCACATAAACACCTTAATTTATTTTTTCTACATTTTTCAGAATACGACCTGCTACATCCTGAAGACGAGGAAAGTAAGTTGACACTTAACTAAGACTATCTCTCTGTAACAACCAGGTTTTTTTGTCTCAACCGTGCTCGATCCATACTTTTTACTGCTAAATCTTCGGCGATTTCTCAGTTTCCATATAAAATTTCTGGCCTATTTATTAGCCATCACTGGAAAAATGCATTATTTCTCAGCCGCTGCTTAAAACTTTTGACCAGTTGTTAAGCATGATCTGTTGAAAATGATACTTAAAAGAGTCATTGGAATCTGTTCCAAGTAAAGTAGCTCGATCAACAGTGCTGACGTTTGCAAATTTTATAGAACATGTAAAGCAGATTCTGTAGCCTTTTGTTTTTCTTCAAAGTAACTAAGAGTACAGCGTAATTGGCCTCTCAGGCTTTGCAGAATTATTTCTCCTGTTTCTCTACGTTATTTACTTGCACGCTTATGTTTCTTCAGACCTGGCTTTCCCGGCACATGTCGCAGCATACAATGGTGACCTGGCCCAGCTGAAGATGTTGATAGAGACTGGGGTGGTTTCTGTGAATGAGCGAGACGACAAAGGATCTACTCCTTCGCATAAAGGTACATGGATCGAGTAGCGTTGAGGTGCTGTAAATAGATTTCGTTCAAAGGGGTAATGTCGATTACAGCATTTTCCTCCAGTTTAACAACTTAACACATTCAAACGAAGAGCAAAAGCAAAGCACAAATTGATGTACAACAAGAACGTACATATGCGTATATTATATTAAATTACAGCGTTTCAGTGTTGCCGTGGGCCAGGTAGAAACCATAGAACGTTTTGGGATTTTGGAAGCCGTTAATTTAATCTGCAAAGATTGATGCGTACATAAGTTTAATAAGGTTATAAGCTGCTCTCATACGCTTTACACTATTCGCATTGATTTTTTTCCGTTTTGTTACAGCGGCAGGAAATGGCCATGTGCAAGTTTTACAGTGGCTTGTTGAAAATGGAGCAAACTGTGAGTCATTTTGCGTGCGAAGCCCTTGTAAAGTAATTATTAGAGGTTGAATTCTTACAACATGCGCTGCAAGAGACAGGAAACACAACTGAAAACATTTCATGCTCACAAAAGCATGTCGTTTAACCATAAAAAAAAAAAAGAAAGAAAATAAAAATGGTCATATTGTTAACGTGACCAGCTCCCAGTTGATTTGATAGCTCCTTTGGTAGGGCACTGCACCGCGAACGCAGAGGTCATGGGTTCGAATCCCGTTCAAGCCTGAATATTTTGCAGACTTCACAGCTGCTTAAGCTGTATATATTTAACTGCGATGATCACTGATGTCTTCATATCTTCTTCGCAGTTCAAATATATGATCTTTCATGTACTCGCACTTATAAGATTTTCT